GAAGAAGGCTCCACAGCCGAAACGTTGCGCGTTTCTGAGATGCTAATGCATCCGAAAGCCGGCGGGATAAGCCTCACACGCCCCCGGCGCCTCTGGGACGTGAGTGGGGAGACCACCGGGACAGAGTCCACGCAAATACGCGTCGGACGCTCACGGTCCCCCGGCCCCACTGAGCACTAAACCTTTCCCTCCTTCTCGACCACCTCGGTACTTCCTTGTCAGTAACCGGGCTAAGATAACCCCGGCGCCTTTCCTGGCCCACTCCTGAATCAAAATGTATACTTTGTCCTGCCAGGGTCGGAATGAGCAACACTGCCTTATTATTTGCAGGAAAATCAGCACCCAGCCTGACTCCTCCGTTTACTTTTACAACAATGCAAGCTGGTAAACGCCTTTAATCGAGCTGTTAGACTTACGGTATGTAATGTAAATTAGCACAGATCGACCTGTGTCTGAGGACTACTTAGATACAGGACTACAGGACACGTTGCCGTGCATAAAGTGCCCCCCATAGTTAATACTGTCCCCAGATTTTCAGAGTTAAAATCGAGAGGCAAATGAGAGATCTGAACGAAACATGCAGGCAACAGAAACTATTTCTTTACAGTAGTTCACAGTATTCTGAAGTTTCGTTCATTTTTTTTATAAAATACATTTTACAAAAGTTCTATTTTACGTATGCTTGATATTTTAAAGAATGCAGTGGCGTTATATATATATATCTCCCGAAACTATTAAATCGTATAAAAAAACAAAACGTTAACGTTACGGAATCAAGAGCAGTGCAATTTTAAATGCAACATCGTCGCACTTTTTAGGTCACAGTTCTGAATTTAAATACATTTCAAATTGAAACAGTTGCAAAACCGCAGCGAAATGCAATCATACTCACCGCCTGCTTTCATTTTAAGCGTTGCTAAATGAAAAATTAAATACTATGTACATATAAATATGTAAAATTAAAACGTCTTTACTGCGCCTCTTTGCGATAGGAAACTTAAAAGTGGGTTTAATTTAAAACTGGGGAGATTACCAATAAGTTTAAGATTTCAAACCCAACCAGCTCCAACACGAGTCCCCGCCCCCGGACTTCCTGACGCTCCGCCCGCGCGCCCAGTTTAAACATCAACTTCGTCATTTCATTGGACGGGCCGTCGATCCGCCCACTCCGCTCGTAAGGCCATCGTGATTGGCGGAGAATCGACCCCGCTCCAGCCATTGGCTGCCTTCACGGGAGGGCTAAGAAAAGAGCTGGTGATTGGCCAGGGCAACGCGATTTCGAATTACGCGCTTCTAAGTCGCAGGCACGTCATTGGATGGAAAGAGGGAAGTTTTGCGCGTCCTGCCCCGGAGTGTTAAACTCTGGGATTTGTAGTGAAGTGTATGATTCGGAGTTTAAATCTACTCAATTTAAAGGGACGTCGGAGACTTGGGTATACCTCACTGGGCGCGGTTCTCCAGCTCCGAGCCTGGCGAAGCTCGGTCGTGTGAAAGAATTTAGCTTATTCGCATATAGTTATTTCACGTCCTAGACCCACGGTAGAAATGATTGATTGCATGCTCACAGCGACAAAAATACCATCGTAAAGTTTGCGTTTTAAACGCATCATAAACTACATCACGGATTGTTGTTCGAACGTTTCCTTAGACATAACATTTTATTGAAATTGTGCACCAACAAGGTACGGTACGAAACACTGATTTAGCCAAAATAAAATATTGTAAGGCTTCGGGGTTGCGTTACAATACAATGGACGTTGCTACTAAGTACACAAAGGTCTTGTCAATAAGGCAACCGGCCACGTCTCACTGCGCTGCTCAATGCGACGATCAAATGCTTTAAATCAAAATCGTAACAGCAGTTGTCCAATTGGCAATTAACTCAGACACTTCGAAGTGCGTTTAAAAACCTCACCACAGAACACAAAGCGATTTTTAAATCTTTTTTACTCAGAAGTCAAGACGCCCCTCCCACCTGAAAGTGTTCTAACCCCTTTGGGTACGGAAACAGCTTCAGGACAGACCGCGTGTGATCCATTTCCTCTAATTCCATCTGTAACGTGTGCATCCGATTGAAACTAAAGTGTGATTCTGTTGGGATTTCAGTTCCTTATTTTGCCGAGATATTCCAGCAAAACACAGATGTGAAGAGCGACAGATACTGCAGAAATAACACCCGTGCTTACGCACCCAGTATATAAAATACACTAATGTGCATTTACCTTTCTCCTATTATTTTAAACAGATGGTGAAATGCTGTCTGGATCAAAGACATTGACGTGAAGGGTCAGGGTTGGACATGTGTGGAAAACTCCCGTGTGTCAGACTAGCCATTAAATGTACAGTATGGTTGAGGGAAACGTGCGCAGTGTTTTCCAGGACAAAAGTCAGGATTATGGAAGAGATTTCCAAAGTGATTCTGGATCTTTTGCAACCTTCTGCCAACGTCCCTAAACACTGTGATTCACTTCTGATTCTGGGAGGAGATAATTAATTATATTAATCATTTGCAATTGCACTACTGTCCCAGAGCTGTGATGAATATCTCGAGGACCATGCAATAAAAGGGTGTTGTGGCTTTTGTATGTGGGTTTGGGACTGATGCTTAGGGTCAAAGTCGCTGCTTCGGAGCCCTGGGTTCAGTTCCGGGCCTGGGGCGCTGTCTGTGTGGAGTTTGCATGTTCTCCCCAGGTTTGTGTGGGTTTCCTCCAGGTGCTCCGATTTCCTCCCACAGCCCAAAGACCTGCTGGAAAAGCTGGCCCTGGTGGGAGTTTGTGCGTGTAAGTGTCTGTTGGCCCTGGAACGCCTCTGTTTAATGCTGGGAGCCACTGGCCATAGTAATGAGAGATGATAAGGAAATGGGTTGCGGGATATCAACGTATCGACCAGTAAGAGTGCACACGGCTTTAGACAAACATCCCCAGAGCCGAATTGTAGTCAAAGTGCGTTTATGTGGAGTAAAGGAAGTAACATTCTGAAAGAAAATTATTACCTTAAGAATTTGTGGAGACTGGGTAAGGAAGAAAGAGATGATGTCTGGAACTCTGTTACACACATAGAGAACCTATGCAAAAAAGTGTGATATTCTTTATAATACAATCACCAGAAATGCTGAAAACAACGTCTTTTTAAAATGATTAGTGATTTTATTGTCCTTAGCAAAATGTATTTTTTTCTGTTGGTTTTGTATTCTTCCCTGCATGCATGCATATAAACAATTTAATATATATACATAATATCGCAAAACAATTTAATAAAATAATATTCTAAAAATCCAAAAAAGGAGTTAAAATGACA